AAATAAGACGGATAGTGGCTTACCGAACAATCCAGGCAGGTGCATCATCTCCATAATCTCACCAACAATAAAACCAAAGGCATAGAAAAGTAGCACACTCATTGCCTCGCCCTGTCTGCATTCTAAACCAACAGTGAAACCGGAAGGCAATTTAGGTAGCCCAGTGGGATTGACAGTCGTTTCCACTGGAGCGATTGTGGTTGTGTCGTTTTCTGAATCGATTGTCGGAGCAAGATAAATGGGAACGGCCATACGTCGACATTTCGGAGGTAACGCCACTGACGGCCGGAGTGACATGATTGCAGTGTAGACAGCTGTGATTAATAGGGCATAGGTGAGCGCTCCGCCAAACCATGTGTACAACAAAAATAGGAGACGCCTGATCCAATTGGGAAGTCGCATCCGCTTCATACAAAGACCGCATCTTCCGAGACGGTCACGTTTCTGTTGTTTACTCTGCGAAGATTCCGCCTCCAGCGGACTTATATGATCGTCACTATCGCGCATGGAATCAACCGCGAAGGCAGAAAAAACGGTGAGATGGTCTGCTAAAGTATCATCGTGTGCTTTCGGCGTTGTGTTGCTTTTCTCAGCTTTGGAAAAGCCATTTCCTTGCGGCTGAGTATGCTTGTGAACGTTTCCGTTCAGCGGCGCCGGGCAATCAACTTCTGGGTGTGCATGTGAGAAATCAAGCGAAAATGAACTGTTACAAAGCTTTTCAATTAAAAGCTCAAATTGCTGAAGCGGCAAATGTTTGTTGCATTGGCTCTTAAATTTGGTAAAACGTCAACATTCGTGCAACTAAAATCAAAACTGAAACGGTATATTGCCTGAATTGAAAAGAACAAAGACACTTTCGACGGCTCAAAGTTTATCCCATTGAGAGAAATCATCGATGTATGAGCATTTTTTGAACGGAGCATACGGCAGACCAAGCAAAACAATCACAGAAATACGCCTAAAACAATGCGATCTATCTTGTAAACAAAGTACAAGTAATTTTGATCTCAAACGATCAAATAAAAGTTACCGCGGGACCAGTGAGAAATAACAGTATTTCATCCTATTGGTTGGTTCCTTCTCTAATAAAAACCGATGCATATGCTGAGCAAAGGAATGGCAGTTTGATGAAATATGATAAAAAATAATTATACTTCCGTGCCTTTCATTTAATAGACATCGATACCATCAAATATTCAGGGCTGAAAAGCAGTAAATCAGAAAGGCTGTAGTGATATACAAAATATCGTTAAATTGAAACATAAACGGCGACGATGAGGCTGTGCGATAGCAAGAAAAGTCATCCGAGGGACTGTGCTTGTGTGTGCGTGTCATAGTGTCTGACAACAATTGTTCATGTTTCTTAAAATTTCAAATTTTTATAGCACAATTTCAGGTGAACAATTATTATCAATAACCCATAATCATTCCATTACAGTTTATATAAGGTGGTTCCGGATCCATCACAAGTGCGATTCTCGCTCACTTGGTAGACACCGGACATTGTTTTGACCCAAGTGAAGCATTCCGCATTATTTATCAGCCCCCCCCCCCCCCCCGGAACCGGTCCAAATATGTTAGAATGCGTCCGTTGGCCATAGGCGAGGCCATCTGTATTAAGCATTTGATCCCCAAACTATGCGCCCAGAAACGTCTTATCCAGGCTCTCCATCTCCTCTGGGTTGACGAACCCACACCTCCGCCATGCCCCCTTTCCTCGCACACACAAACATTTTCATACAGCAAAACCGATCCCTCAGAACTGGGTCACACAACCGTCGTGACACAACTGCAAACCCCGAAAGCACAGATTTGAGAATGCGGTGTGCAACAGACACACAAACACAGACACATGTGCAAGAAGTGAACGATTCCTCACATTTGATCGTTCTCCTCCCAACTCCTAGGATTTTCCTTCATAAACTGTAATGGCATGATTATGAGTTGTTGAAAACAATTGTTCGCCTGAAATTGTGTTATAAATGCGAGTATAGGCATATTTCGAAATTCAAATTTTTAACTTGGATAAATTACAAAGCTAATGCTTTTTGAATTTACCCAGAATAAACTTCGTGCTAATGCATGTGTCTCATTGATAAAACAGTAGTTTTGTTAGTGAGTAAATGTACACCTTTCCGGTGGCGTAAATATCAAATAGCGATCTGGCATCTTCAATTGTACTGAAACCGTGTTTGTTCAAAAGCATGGACCAATACGCATCTGCAAGAAGAATATAACAAAACAAAGTTGCGTCACACATAAAGCACCGGTGTGAGGAATTTAATATACTGCAGCTAAAATGTGGCTTGGGATGATCGATTTGAATCAAGTAAATTTAATTTTGTCACCAAAAGCAATAAATCCACCCGTTAATATTCTTTTGTTTTAGAATGCCAGCAAAGTAATCATTAGTCTCATTGTTTAGAAGCATGCCAGCAGGAAATAACAGTAGCAAGATAAGAAAAGACAAAGTGCGACAAATCCGCTGTACACCAATGTGAAGAACATAGAATTTTGTTTCGGGATGAAAAATCGAAGCGAATCACTTGCTTACCGAATCAATTTGAGAAAAAGGGTAAGCAAGGGCAAAACTGAAGGCAAATTTACAAAATAAATCATCAATACCGTTTCATATCATCACCTGTTTGGCGACTGGATAGAAGCGCTGATTCTGTAGCCGATGAAACCGGACTACATATTACCCTCACCAATGATTGTACATCATCAAATAGGAGAGAGATTTTGAGAGANAAATTCACTCAGAACATTCTGCCGGTTTCCAGCATAATCAGAATCAAAAAGCGTGAAGAGCACGCGACAGTCAGTTTGAAAAAGGCTGTGTGAGTGTGTGTGTGTGTGCGTGAGAGAAATCATCTGATTCTAGACAGAGGACGAGGCAGCGAGGTGGTGCGGGAGTGGCATTCGACCGATTCGAATGCGCACGGTATTTCTAACCGATACCCCGTGTCACGCGTATTAGACTGTCTGTCCGATGCTACCGTAGCTGAGTTATTGATGATCGATTGGATTTGGTTCACAGAAGAGAAGGGGTACATTTTTCCTGTTTCTGTTTTTCATAAGTGTATCAATGACAGAAAGTAAAGTGAAAGCCGAAATGTTGTTCAACAAAATTGAAAGTCATTCTGTGCAGAGAATATTTATGCTTATCCGTCTGAATGAAAGTTGGCATGATGAGCGGAAACTAGAGAGAGGGAGACAGAGGGGAATGTGAGGAAGATACAGAACTGCGCGATATATGTTGACACATAAGAGAGAGGGAAATGAACAGGACAGGAGAGAAAGAGATACACATTGCCATTCCAGATCAACGGAGGAAATTATCCAGCTTTCATTGTCACAGATGTTCACTAGTCCAGGGTTTGGTAAACACAATCCTAGCTCCCTGTGTACAATGATTGAATTCCGATTAACCAGTGTCAATAAATTTGAGGCTACGGTTAAATAATTGCGTAAGTTTCTGTGCACTCTCGACTGCGAACAAGTGGGCATTGTGCAAGGAACAGCTTATCCATAGTTCACGTAATGCTAGCATTAGTCATCCCGCGAGTAGGGTGGATGACACACGTTTCATGAGCTCGCCGAACTTGATCTTGTCTGAAAACTGCTCTTGTAGATAAGCATCTAAAATAACTCGAATAAAACACTCATTTCTTCTCTTATTCGGATAATCGTTTGCATGTTTTCTTATCAACAAAATACAAAGGAAAGAATGATGTGAAAGTGCCTGTTTACAATTTCATTCGTATTCGTAGAAAACAGCAAATACTGGGTCAAATACCACCTCTTTAAACTTTGCAATGGAACATTCGGTTCACACACGCGCAGTTGTCATCCCGTGAACCGGATTAGAAAAACAGATGAGGTCTACCGAATAAAAGAAAACTGTCTCGAAGTAGACTGATTTCGCGGCTGGGTTTTGATGTCTATTTATCTCAGATATTTATAATTGTTCCGGAAATGTGGACAGACACAAAACTAATTTGATATACGAATATAATGAGAGGTGACAATTTATCAATGCGGACGTTGGTCTCAAAAACAAACTGCGACAGACAAGAAACGCGACAAATATTCATCAACTCCGCGTAAGAGAACACCAAACGTAGCATCGACCGTGCAACCTATGGACGGGGTGCAGTTGTGAACTGATAATCGTAATATGGGCGGTAAAACAACCGAAAAGAGAACGGGAAACTTGAGGATCCCACAGATTTCTTTTTCATCCCTGAGAAACATAAAATGCAATGGAAGTTTTCAATACTTCTGCATCACTTTCGCTAATGTCGGCAGCTCTAATTGTACTGCACCACCCTGGCCTTCGACAATGAAAAAAATACTAACGAATGAAAACAAAAACGGGTATTATTTTACTTCCCTCTGTCACAACAATTCCCGTCAAGCTTAAGGTCTCTCGATTCACATCATGAGGTGGTCAGATCAAAAACGGAATTCGATAGTATGCAACAAAACGACAAACGACCCATGCCTAGTTTTCAAATAAGAACGTTCGTAAAAGTAGGCCAGAACCCCTAAACGTGTCCAAATCAGACATAGATTGCCCGAGGGGATAAAAAAGATGACCAAAAAGGTCTATCCACTCTGTCGCGGGTAGATTTAGTTTGTTTCTTATTGATAAGAAAATGGATGAGATTTGTGTGTGTGTATGTCTAGCTAAAGTGAATAAGCCAGTCAATTTTAGTTGAGATAGAATACCGCATTCTTTTTGACTGAAGAGTAGCAACTGACCATTTGCAATAGCCTGACATGATATATTACGCTTTCAAAAATGATGAATCATTAAAAGCACTAATATTAGATATGCGAAGATGAGGCCGTTATGCAACGCACGGATCAGTCTATACAAAAGATGCTTTAGAATGAACACAATACTCAGCTGAATAAAATTGTACATAAGTAAGACACCCGATTATTTTTCCTGAGCTGCTTGACAGCGTCTGCGGCTTACAGGCACACTTCCAAGCGCGAAAGATTCACACGATCAGATATTGACGCTAATGAAGTNCTGCTGCCAAAATTGAAAAACTTCTGGTGCTCCAGTTTACTCTCTCTCTCTCCAACGTCCGTAAATCAGTTCTCCTTCAGTACGATCTCGAATCCCATAAACAGTTGAAGAAGAAGAAAATCGGTTACAAATTTCCCAATGCGACCATAAGCTTACCCCCGCGTTTTTGGAAAAA